GCCTCCGGGCGGTCGCCATGCGTGCCGATCACCAGACAGGGCCGGCCGCGGAAGGCGGCGCTGTGGAGCGTGCTGCGCAGCGTCTCCACGGCCGCCTCCATGCGCTCGGTGGTGGCGGCCACGTTCAGCACGAAGATGAGCGCGTGCTTGTTCTCGAAGTAGTGCGCCCAGAAGCGGCGGACGCGGTCTGAGCCGCCCAGCTCTTTGATGCTCATCACCCGACCGGCGACGGGCAGTGTTTTGATGTTGAAGCCGTTTGTTGGTTCGATGGTGGCCGCGGGGTTCTCGCCGACGAGCTGCGCCAGCAGGGTGCTCTTCCCGCTGCCCGACAGGCCCAGACAGAGGACCTGGTACTCGTTGGCGAGGATGTGCGGCCGGTAGCAGAGGATGAATTGCCAGCACTGGAGGTGGTGGAAAGGAGGTTAAGTTTGGGTAGAAAAAGGAGATCTTTTTGTTTACCTTCCGCAGACCGGTCCGACAGGCGACGAAGCTGCAGGTGAAGGCGTTCCGAACGCCGGACATGACTTTAGAGGTCTAGAGTGTGATTGGGTTTTGTTGTTGTTGTTGTTGCGGTTGAGGTGATGAAAATTGGAGGAGTTGAGGATTAGGAGGTAGTCAGGAGATCATTTCTAGTGCTAGTGGTAGAAGTAGCTCCTGTGTGTTTTGTTTTGAAGGTGGATGACTGGTTGTGCCCGGTTTGCTGGGGAGCACAGTGCTCCAGAGTCGGTTTTTCCGTGTGTGTGTGTTGTGTTTGGCAGCAGCAGAACAGTTCATTTGCCTATTTTGCCCCGAATTTCAGTGCTCTCCTTTTGCCTGCTGCTTTTTGTGTGTGTTCCTGATGCACTTGCTCTTTTTCTGACTTGCTCTCGGGTAGTGCACTACTGACTGCCTGCAGAAATAACTCTGCTGTTTCTGGTGCTCTATATAGCTCAGAAAAGCTTTCCTTCTTTTTCGTTCATTTTTGTCTGAATGATGAATTTTCACTTTTTCTTCCTCGGTTGCCTTCAAAGCAGTAGCCTTGTCTGTAGACAGTAGATTAGTTAGTGATGATGCTGGTTAATGATGAGGGAGAATGGTGGTGAGGATGATGATAATGAGGAGTGCACTTGCAGTGTACTACGTGCGGAGTTTAGTAATTGGACAAAATCGCTTTTTCTTTAATTAAAAANAAAAAAATTATCCTTATCAACAAATGAATGAACTTGACGCATCAACCAGTGTTGCTGCTGCATCATAAAAGCGATCACTGACCACAGTCAGCGTGCAAACAGCTGTGATCTAAAGCTGACACCGCTTGCTGCCGTCAAGACAAACACACACCTCACCTCGACTCCTTTGCTGCCGCTCTTGGAAAACCTTTCATCATCATCACCTCTACCATCATCAAGACAGAAATGTCCACCATCAAAGAAGAAGGTGCAGAAGCGAGTGGCTGCGATACAGCTGCTGCTGCTGGAACCGGTTCAGATTTGCTCCAGACTGAAGAACTCTCAAAAGAAAGCGAGCAGCGTAAGTTTTTTATTTGTCTGACTTACAAGATTGACCCTTTCTTTTTCTATTTTAGCCTCCCCCGTTCTCCACCTACCTGCCTTCCAGAACACCAGCAAGGCCCTCTCCCTGCCACGCCCTCAGTTCGGCGGCCGTTTCGCCAGTAGAACGAGCTTCAGCGAGCGCGCCCAGCTGATGAGTCCAGTAATCACCGACTGCCTCTTCAAGAGCGTCCTCTGCAAGGGCGTGACCGGGGCCCCGCCGGTGACCACCGCCGACTACGTCCTCTTCCACCTGACCGCCTACTTTGCCACCACTGTTGAAGAGGAGGAAAAACACGTCATTTTTGAAAACAACAACAACACCGGCGAAACCGATGTCAACAACAACATCGTCAACAGCTTTCCGCACTTCGTCACGGCAGAGCCCTTCGACACGACGTACTACAGCCTGGAGGACGTCGGCACTCGCCGGACCCGGGTCCTTCGACGGCCTCTCTGCCGCCGCCCGGGCCACCTCCTGCTCGGCTACGGCCACGCCCTCCTCACGATGGTCCTCGGCGAGGTGGCCGAGTTTGCGGTGCACCACTCGCTGGCCTACGGGCCGCTAGGCAGTCCGCCGCGCATTCCGCCCGCCGCCGATCTGATCGTCATCCTCGAGGTGGTGGACGTCCACTCGCCCGGCTCGCTGGAGCACTTCTTTGCACTGGAGAAGTTTCTGGCGGAGGAGGAGGATGATGATGAAGAGGAGGAACACGAAGAGCACTTCACCCCTCAGCATATTCTCGCCTACGCCCGCGAGGACCGAGAGCTGGGCAACGCCGAGTACCGGGCCGACCGCTTCACCGTTGCCCACGCCCACTTCCGCCGAACGATGGAGATGCTGGAGCGTCGCTCGCGCTCCTTTGTTACCACCTCGGAGGTGGAAGATGAAGCGAAACGCCTCCTCCTCTCACTGTACACCTCCGCCAACTGCTGCGTCCTCAGAGGAGGGCTGAGCGGTGGCGGCGGAAGGAACGGCCAGGGCCCAACTGCGGTCAACTACGCCCGCCGGGCGTTGCGCATCGACCCCTACTGCGCGAGGGCCTTCTTTCAGCTCGGCAAGGGCTACCTGGCGATGGACAAGCTTCGCCGGGCGGCGGACAGTATGCTGAAGGCGGCGCGGCTGCGGCCTCGCGACCCGGACATTGCCGCCGAGGTGCGGCGGATTCTCCGTCTCCAGGCGGAGCTGAACATGAAGCGCTCCACCAGGGAGGACCTGGAGGAGGAGGAGGACTACTGTAAGGAGCTGGTCCTTTTTGAAGGTGCTGGTGAAGAAGGAGGTGGTGATGATGAAGATCTGGAAGAGGCGCCCAGGTTTGAGGACTTTGATGATGATGGTGAAAATGCTTCGCCTGAGAATGATTATGAAGGAGAGGAGAAGGTGGTGGTGGCTGAAAAGGACTCTCCGTGGTCGATTCACGACATGCTCGAGGCGCTGGACGACGACGATCTGACAGGCGACCAGGGCGACAAGTGGCACATTGATGACATCACCGGTGGTGCCTGAGCTCGAGCAAAAATAGTAGACATAAAGATGCAGTACCAAAAAAGAATTCCATTTGCTCATATACTACCGACTACAACAATCACAGATACAGTTTTGGCAAGTACTGATTTACCATTCTTCTAATTCCAATTTTATCCTTCACTGTTATCAACGAAATACCAATAAGTTTTCATTCAAATAGCAATTCCCAGTTGTTGAACAAATAGGGACAAAGTTACCAGTTTTAATTTTACATTTGAAACTACTGAACGAGGTAACAGTGCCATTCTGTATGTGCTCTAATTGCGCAAGCATGCCCATTAGTGAACATTGCGACACTGAAAAATGCCAAACATTTGGAGACCCTTTTGTTTGACAGTTTGTTGAACCAACTCTCTCAAATCTGCTCAAAATCTCAACTGCAGTATAGTCCCTCAGGTTGCGTTCATTGTGATCAGTGTGAATCATTGAAGCGTTTCAGTGCACTGCAGACAGGCAAGCCAGCACATTGCAATGTCGAGTGGCAACAGGAGAGCCTCATTTCAACTTCTTATTTTTCTAATTCCCCCTCTGCTCGAGTCAGTCCACTGACCACTGACCACCACCATTGGCCAACTGACCAGATGCCCTCTTCTTCTTCTTCTTTCTTTTTCCTTCCCCTTGCACACAGGTAGTACACTGGCAGGGCAATCTATTCAATGGAGAGTTGAGGCGATTTGAGCTGGCCGATCACTCAGCAGCAGCAATGGCACTAGTGCACACGGCACATTCCCTACTAATAATTTTGGCCACTTTTAGAGCAGTTGGGGCTGTTGCTAGGTGCTCTTCCGTGAGGTTAAGGTCCTTCTTTTGGCTGCTAGAAAGGAGCTAAGGTTAAGGTGCCGATGGAAGGAGAAGAGAAAGAAAGAGGGAACGAGAGCACCTGAGTGAGAAGTAGTGCAGCAGCAACAAAAATAGCGTTTTTCCTCCTCGACCCTAGGTCAACTTGCTGTTTCAGTTTTTCTCACTCTAAGTTTGCTCTGCTCTGCTCTGAAGAGGACCGACTGAACAAAAGGAACCTTGGGGCCGCCTTTAAGACACAGTGCCACAAAAAGTGCACTGCTCTCTCTATTTCTCCCTCATTTGTCAGCTCAATCAATAGTGTGTGTGTGTGTGCCGACTCTAATCTGAGAAGGAAAGGTAAAGAGGGGCAGAAAAAAAGAAAGAAAGGCTTCTGGTGCCATTGTGCCAGGCAGTGGTGGTAGTGGTGGTTGTTCAATCCTCTGATCTACGTGACCAAAAAAGAGAGGGGAAAGGAGAGGAAAGACCCTAAAAGCTCTTTGAGAAGGCCCCTGAAGGCCACAATCATATTTCTCTCGATTTGCATTGATTTGCATTGGTCATCGGTGGTGGTGGTGGTGGTGGTGCTCACACTGATTACGTCGTCGTTTTCTTCGCCGCAACCTTAAACCTTCGTTCTCCTTAGCCTGGAGCGCCCTTCAGGTGGTGGTGGTAATTAAAAGTGTCAGAGTAGTAGTGTTTGCTTGTCTT